AACTGATTGGCCTACACCAGAGACAGCTTTCTTTATGTCCTAGTCTCACCGGTGTTAGACCAGAGAAAAACACCAAACGGCGAACATGTTCACCACAAGTATCGTGTGTGGTTAACGCAGAACTTGTATATTTGGTGTTTGAACATCTTAACGCAACTGTTTTATTGCCAGAAAAGGATCAACCCTATTCCTATTTTTAATACTTTCATGCTGGCAAAAATATAGAGTGTTAGGATCTGTTGTGCACGAAACGTATAAATATTCGAGTGTTTACCCGTACAAGCATTCCACGCTTGTATCGTGAGCTTTATGACGGTACTGTACAGTATACTTGAATCGCTTAACCACCAACACCACCATCACCACACGCCAATTGAGAAGATTGCCCGCCGAGTGATCTCGGATGGTTTTGACCGACGGGACCTTTAAAAAAATCCAATTTGACAGCGTGTACTGCAGATCTGGACACATCTCAACCCTGTACGAATTATTTTCATTATCGTATTGTTTGTTGCTGTTGTTGTAACTTGTCGACCCGCCCCATACTGGACATATGTGAACAAGAGCTTCATACTCTTTGGTTCTCTCGGTAAAGTCACGTAGGTATCAAATACATTTATTATTATTTCACGTAGGTATAGAATAAATGTATTTTATTTTATACCTACGTGACTTTACCGAAAGAACCAAAGAGTATGGATCACTGCAGTCACGAAAACTTCAGATCAAGAGCTTCATAGCTCATGGGGATTCCTCGTTCGGTAATAAATACATATTCCAATGATGGAGATCATCGCAGAAAAAGCCGTGCGCCAGCTACAAACTGGCAGGGACAACCCCCAGGTTCTGTCGCTGTCTGTCTGGGATTTCGTGAAACAAGCGGAGGTCGTCAGCGAAGCCAAGCCCGCCCGGCACGCTCCAAACAGCCAAGGAGGTGCCCGTGGTGCTCTTAATCGGTCTTCGTGTTTCACGAGGCCACCGTGCGTGAGCCGTGCCGAGATATGGACTGCCATTCCTGCGGTGTACGCGTGAGCTTTCGGGCAAGGACAAAAATATACATCGGATTTAAATCGCATTTTTGCTTTAATTGCGGTGTGATTGTTGAATATCAACTCAACTTGCAGCGTGCGCGTGTGATTCCCCCCCGCCCCCCCCCCCCCCCCCCCCCCCGACTAATTTTAGCAGCAGGTGCATTTGTAATATTAAAAACAGTGACTCGACCAAATAGTCGTTTTGCACAGCTGTAGTACTGCTCGACACGTGCGTATCCCCCCACGCGGATTTCATTCTCGAGAGGAAAGTCAAAATAGTTTTAAGCTAACCACGTGGGCAACGCGACCGCGCTCTTCCGTCCGCATGGATGACACCGCTGCACGTGGATTAGCCGTCGTGCCCACTCCTCCCGGCTTCCCACCCTAACCCCACCACCTGCCCCACACCCTGCGTCTCCAATGCGAAACCGTTCAGAAGCGAGGTTCGGAGGCACAAACAAAACGACAACAACAACAAACCCCCCACCCGCCGCCGCCGCCCCCAACTATATCCGTAAGCGTCCCTCAATCCGCTCGGAACAAGACGCCGTGACGTTACCCGATGGGGAAGGGAGAAAGGAAAAAGCAAACCAAGCGACGCGAATCGATTATAAGACGGCGAACGAAGACTCACAGCAAGCTCTCAGACACCGCGGGGTCGGGTTGGTTGAGAGTTCGTAGTGTGAGGGCGACGGGAGTTCGGGTTCGCGTGTTTCAGGGTCAGATGTCAATGAAGGGTTTTGACTAGTGTCGACGAGTTAAGGGTAGGGTTGAGGCTAAGGTTGAAACTAGCAAGGGCTAGGCTATGATGTTAGAGCTATAGGTGCTGGGTTAGTGCGAGTGCTAAAGGGTAGTGCTAGGGGCTAGGAATTAGGGCTACAGTAAACTGAATTCTCTTCTCATCACAGGAGAAAGGCGAACCCCGAATAAAACGACTCATCTCGAGCAGCAGCTACGCGCGCACGAGGCTGCGTCTCGGGCTGTCCCCACACGACTGCTGTTGAAGCTTTCGTCACGATGGCAAGAAAGGGCTTCAAGAGTGTCACGACCAAGCCCGGCCCACTCACCACGTTGACTCTACAGTGACAACGCGGGCGACGCGCAACTGTTTGGAGTCTTTTTACTCCCCCCACATTGACGAAGCTTCCGCTGTGTGTCGGACGCACCACCCCACCCCCCCCCCCCCCCCGTCGTGTTAAACGTCGCGCAAACGCCGGGCCGGCGGGCGGGTGGTTGGCCCAACGTTGGACCAACGTTGGTGTGTGGTTGGATCAACGTTGGCATGCGGTTGAATCAACGTTGGTGTGTGGTCGGACCAACTTCAGTGTGCGGTTGGATGAACGTTGGTGTGCGGTTGGATCAACGTTGGCGGGTGGTTGGATCAACGTTGGTGTGGTCGGATCGACGTTGGCGGGTGGTTGGATCGACGTTGGTGTGTGGTTGGATGAACGTTGGCATGCGGTTGGACCAACTTCGGTGTGTGGTTGGAGGAACGTTGGTGTGTGGTTTGATCGACGTTGGTGTGTGGTTGGATCGACGTTGGTGTGTGGTTGGATGAACGTTGGCATGCAGTTGGACCAACTTCGGTGTGTGGTTGGAGGAACGTTGGTGTGCGGTTGGATCGACGTTAGTGTGTGGTTGGATCGACGTTGGTGTGTGGTTGGATCAACGTTGGTGTGTGGTTGGCTCGACGTTGGCGGGTGGTTGGATCAACGTTGGCGGGTGGTTGGATCGACGTTGGTGTGGTTGGATCGACGTTGGTGTGTGGTTGGATGAACGTTGGCATGCGGTTGGATCGACGTTGGTGTGTGGTTGCATCAACGTTGGTGTGTGGTTGGATCAACGTTGGTGTGGTTGGATTGACATTGGTGTGTGGTTGGCTCGACGTTGGTGTGTGGTTGGATCAACGTTAGTGTGGTTGGATCGACGTTGGTGTGTGGTTGGCTCGACATTGGTGTGTGGTTGGATCGACGTTGGTGTGTGGTTGCATCGACGTTGGTGTGTGGTTGGCTCGACGTTGGCGGGTGGTTGGATCGACGTTGGCGGGTGGTTGGATCGACGTTGGCGGGTGGTTGGATCGACGTTGGCGGGTGGTTGTATCGACGTTGGCGTGTGGTTGGATCGACGTTGGTGTGGTTGGATCGACGTTGGTGTGGTTGGATCGACGTTGGTGTGGTTGGATCGACGTTGGTGTGGTTGGATCGACGTTGACGTGCGTTTGACCCAATGTAGGCCCAATGTTGGAACCATTGGGCCAATGTTGTTCCCAACGGTTCCACGTTTGCTGGAAGCCCAGGACATGAAGACACAGCCGAGATGCGCGTCTACAAGAAGATATGCTCGTTTCTTTGGGTAGGGCCCTCTTGCTGCATTTCCTTTCTTGATCGGGCGAACGAGTGAGTGAATGACTGGATGAATGAATGGATGACTAGATGAATGAATGACTGGATGAATGAATGGATGACTGGATGAATGAATGACTGAGCACCCGAGTAAATCTTCGCCTGATCCCGCACGAACAACCAGAGGCGCACACGCGATGTGGGATCAACATCTTCTAACATCATCATCGTCGCCGCCGTCATCATTATCATTTAAAACTTTAACTTATAATAAGACTACTGTGCGCGCGAAGGCTTGGCAAGTTACACATGAACACACTGCACAGACAACTGCGACATTATACACCTTATTAAGTATGTTTGTGTGCGTGCGTGCGCGTGTTTATATATGTCATATAATGTATATGCAATTTTATAGTAAACCCATGGCATATCTTTTTTTTACATCTTATAGCTATAATATATCTTCTCCGTAGCAATACAAAATATTACACTGTGTTCTACACCGTCACCCCGATCCACGCTCCTTTGTAAAGATATGCAACAACAGCAACAGCAGCAGCAACAACAACAAAAATCTGGCATGGCAATAGTTACGCGTACTTGATGATGCTTTTTTGTTGTTGTAAGATATATTTATAAAAAGCGCGTAGCGTCGAATTCCGCAGTCAATTGTCTCGTACCTACGAACTTGTCTTGTGTGACCATTCCGACACGTTTGGGGAGGGTGGGTGGGGGGGGAGTCGGGCAAACCAAAATAACACAAGAGGCGTTTTTTCGTTTGAATTCGGTGAACAAAACCAACTAAATATTTCAAGGGGGCCGCACAGCGCCACGTGGTGAACAAATAGACCGCAGGTCCTTAATAAATAACGGCGCGGAGTTGTCCCTTGAACAGCCGCGGGCTTTCCGACCCCCCCCCCCCGCTTTAGTAAAGTGTACGTCGATGAGTTGTGTCGGAATAATAATAATACGATTTTAAGTCGTCCGTGAAACTCGCTCCATTCCCCGACTGACCGGGCCGACTACATCTACCGTACATCGACGCGCGTGCACGCACACGCCACCATTATGCGCTACACCTCTGACGTAGCCCGATCCCCCTGCCAGCCGATTGGCTCAGGGTGCGTCACGTGACCCGCTCTAGTTTACATGCACAACCCAGCGGGCGCCGCCCCCCCCTCCCCACCTCGATTATTTTGGCGGGAAACCTCCCCCACGTCCCGTTTCCATGGCAGCAGTCGCGGTCCCCCTTACGGCAACCGAAATACAAAAAAACGGCGACCAAAGAATTTCCACAAGTTTCAGCAACAAAACCTAGAGTATGTTGGCATTTACAGCGCTTCGAATGGCACGTGCGAAATTGTAACACAACGAGTGACTCTGTCTTGAAGTCGTACAAAATATTGCCTTTTGCGTTGTCAAAGTGACCACCATTTAGTGTTTTTTTTTGCAATAACTCCCCCTCAGTTTTGGCCATCATCATCACCACCATCTTCATAACCACCATCATCATCATCATCTTCATAACCATCGTCAACCTCACCATCCTCTAACGTAACCCTCGGGCAATACAAAAAAAAACAACACGTCTCGGCTCCTTCATCGTTAACACCGTTTACGATAGAAAAATATCCGAATAGGTCAGCATAATCAACATGTTACACGTTTCGTGTTGTTAGGACACTTGGACTGGACTCACGGAATGGCCGAGCAAGAAAGGAACGTTCAGGAAAAGCTCTCCCCACGTAGTCGCAGCTAAGTGTTTTGGTGTAAATGTCCTTCGCGAGTTAACCTCGTCCCCCGTCATATGAACGTGGAATTTACACCTCTAATCTCGGGGGGGGGGGGGAGGGGGGGTGCGAGCAAAGTAAATGCGGTGCCAAGTGGACTCATTGTTTGTTTGACGTGTGTTAACATACTGGAATGGTGCATTTGATAAAGCTGCACCTTGAAAGCACTGCAAAAGAGACAGACAGGATGATAAAGTTAAATAAAGCATGTTAAAGTCACGACGTAACCGCTCGCTATTTAAGGTAACGGACGAGCAAAACGAAAGAGAAAGAGCGACTTGCGCTCTCGAGCGTGAATGCTATCGCGTTTTTTTTATAGCCCTCGAATAAAGTCAAGTGAGCAGTTGATGTCACCACTGACGGAACGGCGGGGAGAGATAGAGAGAGAGAGACGAGGAGTGAGAGGGAGACATCCTCGGGAGATTAAGGATTTGTTTTTTGTTTTTGTTGTTGTTGTTGAGGTAAATGAACGAACGCCATTGAACACAACCGCGTATGAGACGCGCGCGGGCAAGCACCACAGGCCACGGCAATCGATCGGTCAAATTCAATATCGACGGTCAATTCGATGGAGCTCTCACTCATTATGAAACTCGAAACAAACAAATAAATCCCAGGCGCCCTGGGTGTTTTGCTTCGTTGCGTCGTTACGTCGCTGCATTTTCATGGTGCTGTCATTAAACTCTTACACGTTAACCAAACTGCGATTGCCGCCAGCCATCGTATCAACGCTGAATTGATGAAAATACTGAGTTCGCTTTGATCTTATTGGACAGGATGAGTTAACCTCCTTTCAAAAACTACTTTTCTTTGTTTTTGTGTCTCGCGATGGGAGGTCAGTCGGCCAAAAAGTCAAAATTATTATGCTTATCATGATACTCGTCAACCTTTTCCATTTTTTTTCTCTCGGCAAGAAAAAAAATCAGCGGAATTTATTTTAAACCCAACTTGCGTATGATCGATAAAGCAACGACGAATGTAACTTACCAATAAATACTGTTTACAAGACACCGCCAATGTTACACGTACATCCTTTGTGTGTATAACAGGCTCACAGCTTGTGATTATGATCGTTATTATTATTTAGTTTCAAGTGACCTTTTCAAAAGTGCTTAGAAAAACTCCGAACCACAATTATGGCAACGATTTCCCTTACCAACGATCGCTCTTTCGGCTTTTTCTTTACCAATCTGTTTACCAAAATTGTGCGCATAACGATCGCACTCAACGCCAAAGATAACAGCTCGGGTAGCTGAGATACAGAGTTCCCAATAAAGAGATCTCAGGAGTGTGTGAAATCCCATCATTACCATCATCATCATCAACAATACCATTAGTACCATCATCATCATCATCCCTCCGGGGTCAGTAAAATGAGCATCACCCCCACTGAGGTTTCCAAGCAAAGTCAACAGTGGCTGTTCCTACGGTGGCGGGAGTGGGGGGGAGAGACATTTCCGCCATAGGAACATGGAATTGCCACAGCTGATCCAGCATCGCCAACGGAGACGATTGCCCCCCCCCACCACCACCCCCTCCGCCGACCTCCCCAGGTCAGCGCAGTGGGCATACAGTCGGGGGGGGGGGGGTCGCGACACCTCGGGAGAAGATTCGTGGGCACCCCGTGCACTAACGTGAAGCGTGTGAATTCGTGCAAACGCGTCCGTGGCTCGCTAACGAGCGCGCTAACGAGCGAGCTAACGAGCGGGCGATGGGCAGGTGATGGGCAGGCGAGCGTGGGTGGACGCGTCTTCACCGCAAGTCTCCCCGTGGTGTTCCCCACAGGAGGCGAGGGCTCTCCACTCCATGCGACTTTCTGACCCCCGTCACACCGCCTGACTGCACCACGCACAGGGGGCCCAAAAATCCGGGCATCTCCCCGATCCCTTTTTTTTTAGGATGCGACAGGACGAGGTTTGTGAGTGTTTCAGGCAAGCGTTTCGTGAAGAAGCGCTACTGATATATTCTTCATCGTTATCGCTGTTACCGTAATAGTTTTTTGTTTGTTTTTAAAATGTTTCCCGCCCGCTAGTAACGCGTGTGGCCATTAGCAATCGAAGCGTTGTGATTGTCGCGCCGTCGACGTCGATGCGAGCCCGCGCCCGTGGGGGTCATTCCCCGGCCGTCTCGCCGCCACCTGTTGGCACAACGATGCAAAGGTCAGCGATCGCGGAGAACAAGAGACCTCGTCGTCCTTCATCCCGCAGACACCACAACTTGTCCCAATCTCATCGCTCCTCTCCAGAGCACGCAACGTCGGGCCGAAGTTTGACATGTCGGTGGAACAGCTTGGGCCAACGTCGGCCCTGACGCTTCCACTGCTTGCCCTTGACAATTTACGATTCGATGAATCGTCAAGGGCAAATTGCGGTATACAATTGGATTCGAACAATCGATAACTCCGTTTCATTTTTACCGGCCTCGCTTCCAGGGCCATTCCCGGGACGTGTTTTGACGTCACCGCGCTCAACGTGAGAGTTTCAACTGGAAGTTAGTTTCTGTCTCGTGACGATTTGACACCGAGAGCACGAATTTAATTTAATTTAAACAACAAAAAAGACGTGTGCTCCCCCAGTCAACACATGTCAACGTTGTCACGTCGTTGGAACCGTTGGGCCAACGTTGGCCCAACATTGGCCCAACGTTTCTCCGTTTATTTGATCTGCATCGTCCGCGGACTTTATTGTGTTGCCTTTGGAGCAGGGAAACGTGCCGCCACATTCTGAGTGAAGGGTGTGGTATGCCCCCAACGTTCCTGGGCTGTAAACTCACCACCCCCCCCCGCCCAACCCACCACGGTGGGAATAAACTCAGGTGCCGGCAGGCAGGGCGATGTTTGTACCGTGCTGTTACCTTGGCCGGGGTGGGATTCGGGGTGGGCAGCGGCTATGTGCGATGCCGTTTAAGGTATTTGTTTTTTAAACTTAAAGAGATACGGTGGGCCCACGTGCACAGAAAGACAAAGTTCCCCCCGTATAGCTTTAGACAGAAAGTTGGGACAAGTGCTGTCCGTGAGCACCGATGACGGCCGGCACGGCACACGAAGGGGGGTGGGTGGCCAATACCACGCCTGGCCTACTTTTCCTCCGCAATAGCGATTTTTAACACACCGCACCAGATACTTATTTAACGCTGAGTAGATTTAGGAGAGGCCAGGAAAGGTTAAGCCACTACTTTGCTAATGATGGCCTGGGAGTCAAACTCAGGTTTGCGGCTTTTGTAGCCAAGTGCGCAAAGCACCGTTGCTCCCCGCACAAATATCCCCAGAATGGCTTTTAACAGAAAGTTGGGGAAAAGTGCTATTAGCGAGCACACTCGCATACACAAGCACGCGCATAGACACTGAAGAGAAGCAGAGTAAAACACAAAGATGGAAGGACACACTGAACAACAGAGACAAATATCCTCCCTCTAGCGTGGACAAAGCTCTGAGACAAAACATGTTAGAGAGACCCTCTTAAAGCCAGAAAGGGAGCGCGTGTGTGTGTTTGCTTTAGGAACACTGGCGCCAGTGGTCGGTGCAATGTCCTAAATAACTGGTCACCGGGTTTCGATTCCCTGACCACAGCTAACAGTGGGAAGTGTCTCAACCGGTCCTGGGCCTCCCCGAAGGTGGAGATAAATGCGGCCGTGGTGTCGTAATAGTGCCCCACACCAACATTTATTGCACTGTGCCGTTCTTGATAGGCGCTCGCTGACAGCTCCTGCCCCAAGAGTTTGTGTAGGCCAGTGGTTCTTAACCTTTACTGTAGACTTGCATCCCTTTGGTTCTCAATAGTGAAAAAAAATGTATGTTAATAAATACATGGGTTTGATGAAACAAGGTTGTAACTTACGTGCCCGTGCTTAGTTTGTGCTTAGATGATTTACTTTAAGAAAAAAATCTGGACATGTCTCGCACCCTCAAAAAGGGCATCTCGCACCCCCAGGGGGTGCAGCGTGCACCCCAGGCTAAGAACCACAGGCGTAGGCCAAATGAAGGATTTTGTTTGAGTAAGGCTGGGCAACCAGCCATAAAATCACGCCTCTCTTTGGGAGGAAAACCCTAAAATCTTGCTTTTATTTCTACTCAAATTATGTACATAAACAAATTTAGGGATTGCTGTTACCAGTGGTGACTGTTGCTTGTTAAGCGCCGAACCACAAACGTTCGGATTAAAGGCCCCCGGTGTTGACGGAACCGCTTGAGGCACATTTTTCTAATTTCCTTTGCAAATGAAGGCCGCTTGCCAATGCAGCCAACGTCCCAACTGCACCTTAGTTACAGTGAGTGTTAAAAGTATTTGATCCCCTGCTGATTTTGTACGTTTGCCCACTGACAAAGAAATGATCAGTCTATAATTTTAATGGTAGGTGTATTTGAACAGTGAGAGACAGAATAACAACAAGAAAATCCAGAAAAACGCAGGTCAAACATTTTATAAATTGATTTGCATTTTAATGAGGGAAATAAGTACTTGACCCCCTCTCAATCAGAAAGATTTCTGGCTCCCAGGTGTCTTTTATACAGGTAACGAGCTGAGATTAGGAGCACACTCTTAAAGGGAGTGCTCCCAATCTCAGCTTGTTACCTGTATAAAAGACACCTGTCCACAGAAGCAAACAATCAATCAGATTCCAAACTCTCCACCATGGCCAAGACCAAAGAGCTCTCCAAGGATGTCAGGGACAAGATTGTAGACCTACACAAGGCTGGAATGGGCTACAAGACCATTTGTGTTTCTTCCATTTGCGAATATTCGCAAATGGAAGAAACACAAAAGAACTGTCAATCTCCCTCGGCCTGGGGCTCCATGCAAGATCTCACCTCGTGGAGTTGCAATGATCATGAGAACGGTGAGCAATCAGCCCAGAACTACACGGGAGGATCTTGCCAATGATCTCAAGATAGCTGGGACCATAGTCACCAAGAAAACAATTGGTAACACACTACGCCGTGAAGGACTGAAATCCTGCAGCGCCTGCAAGGTTCCCTTGCTCAAGAAAGTACATATACATGCCCGTCTGAAGTTTGCCAATGAACATCTGAATGATTCAGAGGACAACTGGGTGAAAGTGTTGTGGTCAGATGAGACCAAAATGGAGCTCTTTGGCATCAACTCAACTCGCCGTGTTTGGAGGAGGAGGAATGCTGCCTATGACCCCAAGAACACCATCCCCACCGTCAAACATGGAGGTGGAAACATTATGCTTTGGGGGTGTTTTTCTGCTAAGGGGACAGGACAACTTCACCGCATCAAAGGAACGATGGACGGGGCCATGTACCGTCAAATCTTGGGTGAGATCCTCCTTCCCTCAGCCAGGGCATTGAAAATGGGTCGTGGATGGGTATTCCAGCATGACAATGACCCAAAACACACGGCCAAGGCAACAAAGGAGTGGCTCAAGAAGAAGCACATTAAGGTCCTGGAGTGGCCTAGCCAGTCTCCAGACCTTAATCCCATAGAAAATCTGTGGAGGGAGCTGAAGGTTCGAGTTGCCAAACGTCAGCCTCGAAACCTTAATGACTGGAGAAGATCTGCAAAGAGGAGTGGGACAAAATCCCTCCTGAGATGTGTGCAAACCTGGTGGCCAACTACAAGAAACGTCTGACCTCTGTGATTTCCAACAAGGGTTTTGCCACCAAGTACTAAGTCATGTTTTGCAGAGGGGTCAAATACTTATATCCCTCATTAAAATGCTAATCAATTTATAACATTTTTGACATGCGTTTTTCTGGATTTTTTAGTTTTTATTCTGTCTCTCACTGTTCAAATAAACCTACCATCAAAATTATAGACTGATCATTTCTTTGTCAGTGGGCAAACGTACAAAATCAGCAGGGGATCAAATACTTTTTTCCCTCACTGTAGTGAGCAGTGGTGGTGAAGCTGCTTGTTACACTGGCACAATAAACAATAAAATATATCCATAATAGGTTTTTTTTAGGGTTAGATCGTGTTAATATAAATGTGTGTCGTTAAACCCGCCACCACCTGACACAGTCAACTAGTTAAGGGTTGTCACATAAACAAAAACGTGTCAATTCGTTACTAGTTCAGCACACCGGTTGTGTTGGGGAGTGAACCCACAACATTTACAATTCGATTACCGTGACGTTTCGCTGATAATTATAACAACCAGCCTCATCGGGCGACAGTCACAGAGTTGTGGAGAAACCCTCCTCCTCTTTCGGTCTTAAATAGAGGGGGTAACTGTAAAGGATTTGACGACACATTCATATTTACGCACCCTAAACAAACAAAAAACCCCTCTATAATGGATAATATTGGTCACGAAAGCCTACTTTTGGAATGAACATTAAAATAATTCACAGGCCTCCCGTCAATCCACTGCTGGATGAAGGCCTCGCCACTTTGGTGCTTTCGTGCCGGTTGTGGGGGGTTGTTTTGACCACCAAAACCGCGCCAACAAAACGCACCACGCTGGTCAGGACCGACCGGTGCAGGCGTGGCTTGCCACCGACGTTAGCCGTGGTCGGGAGCCGGTGGGGAGGGGGCGTGGTGCATTGTGCGAACCAAAGCGCCACTGCTCCTCGCCCTCCCCTCGCCCCAATTAGTGTATCGTGACAATTCAAATTATTTCCTTGCACAGGAAAGCCTCTCGGGAGTCTCGTGACTGTCTTTCGTGAGGGTCCCTGCTGGGAATATTCGGCCAGTCCCCTATTTTTTTCTTTTTATTGGGTGCAATATCAGACATTAGTACATATAATCGGCATGATCATTGGTTCACTGCAGCTCAAAGACTCAGTCCCTACAATACAAGGCGTGTGGTGAAGTTAGGAGATGTGCCATGTGTGCTTGGCATTTGAGGCACCTGAAGACTAGAATCAGTGATTTCGCTGACAATTTGTTCAGGGAGGCAGTTTTATATTCGGACAGCAGAGTGATGGGAGCTTCTGTCCAGGGAGAATATTTGTTACACTGTCCTTGCTGTCCTCACACTAACCCAAGTTGCGAGCCAAGCGAGTTGGCCCAACGTTGGCATGTTTACCAGGCCTCTCCCTTGGTCATCTCAGTATTATTAATCAATTGAGTGCATGTGTAGTGAATAAGCAGCAGAGTTGGAGAGAGACATGGTAATGTGCTCAATAATAACAGCACACTCTGTATTACATGGCTTAATGGCGGGGGGGGGGGGGGGGGGGTTCGTTTGTTATGGTGTTGCCGATGATTGCAATCCTACCCGTGTCACTCACCGTGTACAGCATCACAGACGCGCGTCACCGAGAATCGGGACAGCACTGGCGTCGACACCCGGAACCGGGACGGTGGGTTCTGCATGCTGGGTGAGGCCTTGGCAACAGACGAGGCCTGCATGCTGGGTGAGGCCTTGGCAACAGGTGAGGCCTGGATGGAGGGCGAGGCCTTGGCAACAGGCGAGGCCTGGATGTCTGGTGAGGCCTTGGCAACAGGAGAGGCCTGGATGCTGGGTGAGGCCTTGGCAACAGGCGAGGCCTGGTTGCCGGGCGAGGCCTTGGCAACAGGCGAGGCCTGGTTGCCGGGTGAGGCCTTGGCAACAGGAGAGGCCTGGATGGAGGGTGAGGCCTTGGCAACAGGCGAGGCCTGGATGGAGGGCGAAGCCTTGGCAACAGGCGAGGCCTGGATGTCTGGTGAGGCCTTGGCAACAGACGACACCTGGATGCTGGGTGAGGCCTTGGCAACAGGCGAGGCCTGGATGCTGGGTGAGGCCTCGGCAACAGGCGAGGCCTGGTTGCCCGGTGAGGCCTGGTTGCCGGACAAGGGCTGGCCGCCATCCTCGGTGTTTGCGGAGAACAGAACAGGCCCTGTCGGCGGCGACTCTGGCAACACGAAGGCCTGCGCGTTTTCGTCGCTCCCCAACCACGTGGGGCAATTGCTGCCGTTTCCACTGTCGTCGTCGTCACCATCAGCAGCGGCCCCCGCGTCGTCATCGCTGTCCCCGGCGCCGGTGCGGAGTGTAGGTGATGCGTGCCGCGGCGTGTCCTGCCGCACCAGGCGAGGCCCCGGGGGGAGGTCTTCATCGTCCCACTCGTAGCCGGCGCCGCCGCCGCTGCCACCGCCGACTGTTGGGCAAAGGGAGTGGGGTCCGAGTTACGAGCGAGTGGGAGGGTTCCAGCAGCTGGGAACTTCAAAGGGAACTGTCCACAACACTGGCAGCAGCAGCAACAAGAAGCACCACCGGGTCCACTCCTACAGCAGCCGAGATGTTAACTCCCTCGTCTGGTATGCAGGAGTTGGTCATTTCGATCCCCACCCTGATGCCTGCTGTATATTTGATGTTTGCGTGCTTCTCTCCCTGTTGTCCACTTTTAGAATCAACGTGCGTTGAGTATTGAGCTGCTATACATTTGCACGTGATAAGCCACTTCGGAGAGCTATCACTTGTGGCCAGGTCGTTTCTGAAAAAAAAGCGATAAAGCTCAGTGGGCCTTACCTGGTGAAATTAGTGCCACAGCCGCTACCACAGCAGCACAACATCATGAGCACAACTATCATCGCCCACAGCACTAGCAGCACACGCAACAGCAACAGGAGTAGCAGTAGTAGCACAGTCACCATCATCACCTCCACCACCAGCAATAACAGCACCACCATTAACAAAGCCAACACCAGCACCACATGCAGCAGTCGCTGTAGCTGCAACAGCAATGTGACCACCATCATCGTCTCCACCACCATTAACACCAGCAGCAGTAGCAGCAGCAACAGCAACAGCACTACCACCATTAATATGGCCATCACCACAGCAGCATCACCATGGCACCATTACCATTACGGCACCATCACCACTACGGGACCACCACCACAGCACCACCACCACGGCACCACCACCACGGCACCACCACCACGGCACCATCACCGCTGCACCACCACGGCACCATCACCGCTGCACCACCACGGCACTACTGCCACGGGATCCTTGCCTTCCTCGTGATGGCCCCCTTCATCCCCTTCGGAGCAGCAGGGCGCCCTGGCACCGTGCTGCGTCCCCTCGGCGCCGTCATCCTCCGTTAGGCCACGGTCTCCGAGCTCGCTTGTGGGGCTCTCCTGCCAGACGCATGCACGCAAACAAAGACAAGGATTCCCCGTATAGCATTAACAGACTGTTGGGGCAAGTGCTGTTTGCGAGCACCTATGAAGGCTGGCACGGTACACAAGGGGGTGGGTGGCCAGCATCACGCCCGGCTGCCCTTTGTCTCCCCAGTGGCGATGTTCTGACACACTGCACCAGGTACTCATTTGAGGCTGGGGAGATCTTGAGGAGGCCCAGAACCGGCTCAGATAATCATCACTGGTGTTGGCCTTGAGCGGGAATCGAACTCGGGTCACCAGGCTCGTAGCCCAGCGCGCTAACCGCTACACCACCGCTCCCCACGCGCACGCAATCGCACACGGACGCCATCATTCCCACAGTAACCCCTAACGCCGTTTGTTAGCGAGCACCTTTTAGAGCCAGGCATAATTTATTCAGAACTTCATCGAGAAATGTACGACTTATTGGCGTGCACTTTGCTCGCTCTCTGAGCAGTGCGCTGACACTGGCGACCGCGCAGGGCTTCAAAGTGTTGTGGAATAGCTATCGTGGTGTTGCTGGTGACCCTAGCAGCGATCGCGGTGTTGCTGGTGACTATAGCAGCGATCGCGGTGTTGCTGGTGACTCTAGTCGTGATCACGGTGTTGCTGGTGACCCGAGCAGTTATCACGGTGTTGCTGGTGACTAGCAGCGACCGCGGCGCTGCTGGTAATTGCAGCGATGATGACCCACAATGCAGCAGGACCCCCCCCGACAATGAGCCTCGAGACTCGGCGAGCCGCCACACACCTCGTCAAACAGGTAGACGGTGACGTCGTCGAAGAACGACACCATCTTCTTGGAGCGGCCCCCCTTGGCGGCCTCCGATGGGAGGCCGCAGAGGTCGCCGGGTGGCCTCAGCATGCTCCGCAGAGAGCGATCGCTCTCCGCCTCCGTCACCACCATGGGCACCGGCTCCGCTCCCCCGGCGTTGGCTCCATCGCCGCAATCGTCACCATCGCCGCCGTCGCCCCCGCGGCGATCGCCGCAGCCGCCGTCATCGTCGTCGTCACCATCGTCGTCGCTGTCTGAGCTGTTGCCCTGCACGCTGTACACCACCATGTCCTCCTCCGAGTCCTCGCTGTGCACGTCATCCACCTCTTCTTCCTCTTCGTCGCTGCGCCGTGCCGCCACCACTTTGTTGGCGATGGCGGCCGGCGCCGTAGGTTCCGGCGGTGGCGGCGCCTGCTCGGCGATTCCGTCCGGGACCTCTGCTCGGATGTCTCTCTCGTCGCTCGCGAGCACCTCATCCCCCTCCTCCGCCCGCTGCTCATCGGCGTCGGCGGCACCAGCGGGGCTGTCGGCCGAGCGACGCCACGGCCCCGCCGAGGCTCCCACCGCCACCATCCCGGCCATGGCCTCCACGAGCAACGTCGCGGCGCCGCGACAACGATCGTCTCCTACCGCGCTGTCCATCCGCGCGTCCCACCCGTCCATCACTCGTGCGTCCGGCACCGCGCTGTCGTTGGCACCGTTATCTTCGTCGTCCTCCTCCTCCTCGTTGGCGTCAATATCATTGTAATCGCCGGAAAGCACTATGTGACCACGCGCCAGCGGGGGCCTCACGGGCTCCGGCTCCCCACGCAAGCCCACGGCCCAGTCCGATCCCTCGCTCGGGGACGGCCGATGCTTGCGGCACTGCGCCGCTCCACCTCCACCGCCACAATCGATTTGGCAGAAAGTCTGCGCGGCCGCCGACACCGCCCGGCCCAGAACGGCGTCGTCTCCACCCGCCTGCTGGCCTGTGCCGCCAGTGCCACCGCTGCCGCTGTACTCTTCGTCTTGCGTCATCGTCCCCACCGGCGCTTTGTCTCCCAATCCGGCGTCTACGTCGCCGTCCGAGAAGTACGCCGAGTCCCTATTGGGCGGTTCCAGCGCCAGCGGTGACGCCATCGCATCCCCGGCGCCACCCTCCATCTCGTCGCCCTCGTCCACCTCGTCGGTCGTCACCGTGACTTCCACGGTGAGGGCGCCGGTGGCGGGAGAGCCGGAGGCGCCATTGGCGGTTGCGGTGGCGCCGTCCGCGCCGTCCTTTCCCGCGTGACAGCCACGCAGCTTGGCCGGCTCGAGCCCACTGGGCGCCGGCGACTCCACGTTCTCCGTGTCGTAGCCACTGTCGCCGGCGCCAGCCTGCTGGAGAGACAGGTGCGACAGGGGGCTGTCGAAGTCGGCGCTAGAGTCCGGAGGGGGGCTCGATGTGTCTGACAGTGCCGCCTTCAACTCCTGTGTTGCCATATCCGCGCCATCTGGGGCCGCCACCACCACCGGCGCCGGTGCCCCGCGCCGCGAGTCCCCTCCGTCCATCGCCCGCGCCCCGTAGAACGGGTCGGCCTGCGCTTCCGGCTGCTTCTTCGGCGCCGTCACCGCCAACGTTGCCAACGCCGTCGCGACCAGTGCCGCATCCTGGGCGAACGGCAGTTTCTCCGGCTCGACGCGTCTCACGACGCTGGCAATGTTGCTGGCACCGCCGCCGCACTGCCTCGCTTCGTCCGCTTTTTCCCCGACGGTGAGGCCCGTGCCGACAGGGATGGCGACGTACTTCTCCTCCCCGTAGCAGCCGGAGCGCTCCTCTACGCCCAGTGAGCCCCGTCGCGGCGGGTACTTGGCGGCGCAGGCGTCCAGAGCGAGCTCCTCGCGCTCACCATGCCGGTAGCGGTTGAGCAGGACGTGCTGCTGCTGCTGCTGCTGGTGCATTCCCTCGCAGTATCCTCGCACCGGCAAGTGCCGTTCGTCGACGGACGTGCAGCCGCATGCCTCCAGGTGGTACCCGCCGCCGCCGCTGCCGCCACCCCCACAGCTGCCACGCACGTAGGAGCTCTTCTCGCACGGCCGGGAGACGTCGCCCCAGCCGGCGCAGCCGCCAGCGCTGCCGCCTCCACCGCCACTGCCAGCGACGCGCGGCATCATCACGCCAACCCCGGCATCGCAGCAGGCGGCCGGGTGGCAGCCGCTCGCCAGTGCGCAGCACTGCTGCTCGCGCAGGAGACCGGCGGTGCCGTCCGCCGCCGGCTGCGCGAATCCCTTCCCACAGCGGTAGCTGCACTGCGGGCAGCCGGCGCCGTGTGAGGGAACCATGGCGTACGTGGCCGGCACCGGCACAGGCCCCGGAACGCCGCCACCTCCACCGCAGCAGCTCACGGGCAGCGCTCCGCTCCCGCCCATTACGCCGGATCCGGCGCCGCCACCGCCGCACCGGGAGTAGCAGCCGGCGACCTTGCAGGCGACTGGGACGCCGAATGGGCCTGGCGCGCCGGCGTAGAAGTCGCGCGGCTCTGGCTCGTAGGCCCGCACGGGGCCGTCGTACAGCAGCAGGCCGCACTCGCCTGGCGAGTAGCAGGCCTCCACCCGCCCGCCGCCGCCATCGCCGTAGCCGCCCGCGCCACCGCCGAGCTTGTCCGCGTAGCGCATCGGAGCCACCCCGGTGGCCACCTCCGGTTCCCCGCACATCCCCGCGCGACGGCCCATGCCGGCGCCGCCGCCGCCGCCACCACCAAGAATGAGCAGCCCGGGGCCTCCGGCGTCACCCAGATCGACCATGTCTTCACCGCCGGTGCCGCCGCCAGTCCCGCCGGCGCCGTAGCAGAAGGAGAACGCAGCGTGACCGGCGAAGGGCCCCATGCTGGCGCGGTCCGTAAGCAGCAGCCCGAAGTCGGACGAGTCGTGCGCGCGGCGCCGGGCCGCTCCGGGCCGCTCCTGCTGCGAGTAAGAGCGCTGCATGCCTGCGCCGCGCACCTTCGCCTGCAACGGTGGCATCGGCGGAGGCGGCGGAGGTGGCGGTGGCGGCGGGACGGAGGGGGCGGCGCAGCCATCGCCCAACTCGGGGAGGCTCGCCGGCGGGTTCCAGGCGCCGGTGGGAGGGAGACGCCCGCAGCAGCCGGCGTCGAAGGAGCGGCTGGCGGCCGACGCCGAGAAGGCGTGCATGAGGCGGCCCGGCCCCGAGAACGGCGCCACTGCGTTCGACGCTGCGGCTGGCGTCGGGGGCAGCGGCGGCGGTGCCGCCTGCTGCTGCAGCGACATCTGTGGGCGGCGGTAGCCGGCGCGGAGGTCGTGCGCCGTCGCGTAGCACGCCGCCCGCTCGCCGCCCTCCCCGCCCAGCAGGTGCGCCGTTTCCGCCTCCCCGTCGTCGTCGTCGTCCTCCTCGTCGTCGTCGTCCTCTTCCGAGCTATCCACAAAGACGCGGTCGTAGCGGCTGTCCTGTTGCTGCTGGTGGTGCCGGTGCTCGTCAACGCCGTCGTCGTCGTCGCCGCCGCCGTCCTCCTCCTCGTCGTTCTCGCGCTCGTCCCCGCGCTGCTCGCCGGCCCCGCCGCATACGCGGATCAGCGGTTCCATGGCGAGGGAGGCGGCGGGGCTGCCCAGGCTGTTGCCGTGGCGACTGAGGAACTCGGTGCGCATCTCCTCGATGCCGGCGCTCTGCAGGATGCTGAAGCGGTTGCGCAACAGCGAGTCGCACTCGGGGTCGCCCCCGTGCTCCGACGGCCCCCCGGCCGCGCTGCTGCCGCCGCTGCTGTTGCTACTGCCGCTGCTTCCACTGCTGCTGCTGCTGCTGTCGTCGTTGTCCCGTTGGCCGCAACAGCCGCCGGTGCCGTCACCGCCGCCGGCGCCGTTCAGGTCGTTGTCGGGGCCGTCGAGGTCGATGGAGCAGCGGCCATCGTCATCGTCACGGCCGCCGCCACCGTCGCCGCTGCCCGCGCCGACGCCGCCTTCGTCGTCGTCGTCGTCCTGGCCGGGGCCGCCGGCGCGTCCCTCCAGCCGCACGAAGTAATCGCCGCACACGGAGGGGCTCCCCGCCGCCAGCACCGGCAGCTTGCTCGACGGCGGCGCCAGCCCCCGGTGGTCCGGCGCGAACGGAGCCGCGTCCACGTCGCTGTCCGCCTCGCCCGAGTAGAAGCGCAGGCGGGAGAAGTCTCCGCAGGTGCCGCCGCTGGCGCGTCGCGGCTGTCCCCCCGCCGCGTCGTCCGCCCGGGCCGCGTCGGCGCTACCGTCGCTGCCGTCGCTGCCGTCGCCGCCGGCGCCGCTTCCTCCCTCGCAACCTCCGCCGCCGGCGCGGCTGTAGTAGCAGGGCCGGTCCCACGAGTACTCGAAGCTCAGACCCTGGCTGGTCTCGGTGACGGTGAGGATGTCGTCCAGCTCCTCCTGCAGGCCCTCGCTGGAGAAGCGGCGCAGCTGTGGGTAGGCGGGCGCCGGCGCCGACTGCTGCTGCTGCTGGTGGTGGTGGGTGAGCGGCAGGCACGGCTTGAGCGCGTTCCACTGGCGCTCGAAGCTGGCGTCGTCACTGGAGCAGAGGCGCCGGTTGTAGAGGTAGGTGAGGAGGAGGTGCACCTCCTCCACGGACGGGCGCTGCTCGCACGGCAGCCAGCACAGCTGCAGCACCTCGTACCTGGCGGCGCCGGCAGCGGTGGGAACAGTGGCAGTGGCGGCAGCAGCAGCAGCAGCAAAAACAGCAGCAGCAGTCAGATTAACAGCATTAGGAGCAGCAGCAGTAACAGCAGTCGCCGTAAGAGCAGCAGTAAAAGCAGCGGCGGCAGCAACAACAGCGGAAGCAGCAACAGCAGCAGCAATAGAGTAACAGCAGCAGCAGTGACAGTAGCAGCAGCAGTAACAACAGCAGCAACAACAGTAGTGAGAGTAGCATCAGTAACAGCAGCAATAGTAGCAGCAGCAACAGCAGTAACAGCAGCAGTGAGAGGAGCAACAGTAACAGCAGCAATAGCAACAGTAATAGTAGCAGCAGCAACAGCAGTAGCAGCGGTAGACAACAGCAGTAACAGCAGCAGTGAGAGGAGCAACAGTAAAAGCAGCAATAGCAGCAGCAATAGTAGCAGCAGCAGAAACAGTGGCAACAGAAATAGCAGCAGCAGTAACAGCAGTAGTAGTAGCAGCAGCAGTAACAGCAGCATTATAATCATCGATATGCGTGTAAGGTGGAAATAAATACGCCAAGTCCTTGCTTAACGCGTTTTCGCTATAACGCGGTTCTTCTATTTCAACACACTTTTCGCACCGTTATAGCTCGGAACGCGCACCGTTCTAATCATCGTCGTCATAGCTATCGTCGTCATAGTCATCATTGTCATCACCATCATCGTCATCATCATTGTCATCTCCATCATCGTCATCATCATTTCCGTTGTTATGGTCATCATCATCATCATCATCGTCGTCATTGTGGTCCTCGTCGTCGCCGGTAACGGTGGTGGCGGCCGCGCAGCCCGCACCAGCGGTCCGAGTGCACCATCTGCAGGCGAGGCTTGGCGAGGCGCACTTGCTGCTCCTTCACCACGTACGAGAGCACCTCCTTGTCCGACAGGTGCTTGTACGGCTGAGACCCCAGCTCCAGCAGCTCCCACAGCGTCACGCCGAGCGACCTGACGACACGAGTTCGCGAGACACAGGATCGGCGACGTTCCGGGAGGATATCTCAACGCCTTGACCTCAATGGCCGGTTCCTTGGCGAGCGATTGAGGTTTGTGGCGAGCGCGGGAGCGAGAGACACTCCGGGGGCGCAGGAGTGGACGACGCTCGCGCGAGGAGGGATCCGCCGTTCTGGAGACTCGAGCGTGGGCCGTTGGTAGCGACGCGCGTCGAGCACAAACGAGGTAACACAAACGAGACGGACAGCACAACCGGACAATGTAAAGGAGACAGGACAAACAGCAGAGTTGGACAATACAAACCAGACGATACAAACCAGACAGGTTGGCAACACACGTACGGTCAATACAAACGAGACAATACAAACGAGACAATACAAACGAGACAATACAAACGAGACAATACAAACGAGACAATACAAACGACGGGACGACTCTGGCGCTCGCTCGCTCACCACACGTTGCTCTGCTTGGATTGGTCGACCACGAGGAGGTTTCCATGCACGTCGTCCACGAGCTCGGGCGCGATCCACCGCAGCGGCACGCTCTGCCGGTCCGACGTCACCAGGTAGTCGTCCTGCGGCACAAAGGGAAAGGTCCCCCCGTACAGCCCTTGACAGACCGGTTGGGGCAAGTGCCGCTCGCGAGCAGCGCCTGTGTAGGCCACGTCACCCCGTCATGTGGCACACACGAGGGGGTGATGTAGCCGGCGCCACGCCCCCGGCCGACTATGTCGATGTTTAAGCACCGCCCCAGGTACTCATTTGAGGTTGAGTCGACCTAGGGGAGGCCCAGGACCGGTTCAGATCATCCTCACCGGTGTTGGTGGCCGTGAACGGCAATCAAACTCTGGTCGCCGGGTTCGTAGCGCAGCGCGCTGACCGCTGCACTACCACTTATACACGAGCGAGACACGCACACACGTGTTCACATGCACACGCACGCACACACACAGACGCATGTGCACACGCACACGTGTACGCATGCACAGGCATGCACAAGCAATGCATTTACACACGCATTGGCATGCACACGTACATGTGTACACACGTGGGTGTAGGGATAGATGGACGGTTGGCTGTAGGGATGGGTGTAGGGTTGGCTGTAGGGTTGGCTGTAGAGATGGGTGTAGGGTTGGCTGTAGGGGTAGCTGTAGGTTTGGCTGTAGGGATGGGTGTAGGGTTGATCGGACGGTTGGCTGTAGGGATGGCTGTAGGATTGGCTGTAGGGATGGGTGTAGGGATAGGTATAGGACTGGCTGTAGGGATGTAGGGTTGGCTGTAGGGAAAGCTGTAGGGTTGCCTGCAGCGATGGCTGTAGATATGGCTGCAGGGATATCTGTAGGGTTGACTGTCGGGATAGGTGTAGGGATGGCTGTAGGGGTAGCTGTAGGGATGGGTGTAGGTATGGCTGTAGGGATGGGTGTAAGGAAGGTTGTCAGGATGGGTGCAGGGTTGACTGTAGGGATGGCTTTCTAGAAGGCTGTAGATTTGGCTGTAGGGGTGGGTATAGGGTTGGCTGTAGGCATGTATTTATGCTGAACAGATTTAGCACCGTACATCATGAACCATGCAAATAGGTATGGCTGTAGGAGTAGCTATAGGGGGATGACTTAGGGTTGGCTGTAGGGTTGGCTGTAGTGTTGGTTGTAGGGTTGGCTGTAGAGTTGGCTGTAGGGATGGGTGTCTCACCTTGTACTTGGTGGCGGCTGTGCCATAGTCTCCGATCTTCACCGTGAGGTCAGAGGTCAAGAGACAGCTCCTCAGGGCAAGGTCACTGGGAAACCGACGGGGGTGATGGGAGCAAGGTGAAGAGGTGAGTGAGGTGAACAGAGGAGTGAAGCGAAGTGGGGGGCAGGTGGGGGGTGAAGAGGTGAGTGCGGTGAAGAAATGAGTGAATGAAACGAGTGTGGTGGTGACCGAGGTGGAGAAGTGAGTGAAAGCGCACGCACGCGGGGCGAATGAGCACGCGACAGCGACCGTAATCGCACGGCAATTAAACTAATTGAGGGTTAAACATGCGGCTAAATATAGCGTGGTGCATCCGGCCAAAAAACCTGACGAAACAACAACTCACACACACATGCATGGACAAAGATCCCCCGGACAGCCTTTAACAGACTGTAGGGGCAAGTGCTGTTAGCGAGTCGCACCTATGAAGGCCGGCACGGCACACGAGGAGGGAAGGTGGCCAACTCCACGTCCGGTGCTGATGTTTGCTCACCGCACCAGGTACAATACTAATTTAGGGCTGACCTAGGGGAGGCTCGCGAACGGTCGAATATTGGTCACATTGACCCCGCACACGCACGGACACACTTCGCAATGCAATGCATCCCTGGCCATCGTAATAGACCCACGGAGCAGTTTCCGTGGACGCCCCCCCCCCCCCCCCCCCCCGCTAAAGGCCATGGCACAATTACCCCATTACGTGACTCAACACGCGGCGGTGGTGGCACCCGGTGGTGAAGGGGGGGGGGGTCGTGGGGGGGCAGGGGGGGCGGCGGGAGTGAAAGACAGACGTGACAAGAGGAACGCGGAACGAGCGCCATTATAACGCGGCTCGTGAGCGGTCGACACCTAACTACTTTCTTGAGCCGCGCGGCTGAGCAGTGCAGTGATACGGTACGCAGAATGATGCAGTAATGCGGTACCCTCGGTTATTTGTCCTGCCATTCCCCCCCCCCCCCCGTGTGTGTGTGCGTAGTACATTGCATCTCGCCAAATGTTTATCGTTACATTATTCACAGGGAAACTGCTTCCGCTTAACACGATTTCCGCTAACCGCGGCACTTTTCAGGAACTTACTGAAGGCAGAAGTATTTAAAAAATCTACGCTTCTCGCACTCGCAGTATTACCCAGGGCGGCCCGCCAGGGTTCGAACCGCAGAACCTCCGCAACGAGCGGCGAACGCGATTACCCCCGGGCGGCCGCGTCGCCGCCAAAGGGTCGAGATGACGAGGTCGCGGGTCGAAAGTTTGGGTGTGGAGGTGGGAGGATGTTTGGGCGAGCAGAGTGGAGAACGAAATCACAGACACTGGAGTTCTGTCCACATCTCCGACTCTGCAGTCACTGTGATTTGTTCCCACTGCCACTGCCAATCCGACGGCGTCCGCCGTCCGCCCGACGGCAAAAAGAGAGTCCACTCGATGTTACGCATGCGCACAACGCCCGCGGCGCAAGCGGTAGTAGCGGCGATGCGGTTCAGGAGCCGGATGCCAAAGTCGGCGTCGACGAGAGGGCGTTCGGGTTTTTAAGCTCCCAGAGAAAGAGAGGGAGGGGGAGTGATTTGGGGTGGGGGGAGGAGGTGGAGGGAAGCGTGAAAATGCCCCCAACTGCATTCTACTATTCCACTCTCGTGTACGATGGCAGCAGTGTAAATAATTCTTTTACACGATTCGGCATCAGCAAAACCCTGGACCGGTTTCGACGCACAGACGCTGTCTCCTGTCAGCAGGGTCAGGCCTTGTTTGAATCGATGCTCGGACGTTAGGGACGAGGGAGGAGCCTTCTCTTTGAAAATGCGGGCCCTCGAGCGCCCTCCAGTAGAGGGCGGTGTCCGTCTGCCTTGTTGAGACAGCTCTTCTTCCTCGCGTCTCCTGTCCAACCTACACGGGTCCTTTCCCAACGTTCTGCGCAGGCCACCGCTTCCGATGGTGGCATTGCAAAATCTTGAGGAGTAGCATTGCGGTTTGCTGCAGGGCATCTCAGGAGATGTGACCCACGTGGTTTGCTTCTCCTGACAGGCACATTGGTCGGCTGTGCTGCAGAAGCCCCCCCCCCCCCCCCATGATTTCATGAGAGAGTTGCATCTGCCCTCCATTCAGTCTGTTTAAGCTCCGCCATGTATGTGAGCCATTTGGATTTGGAACCAGACGCGAGCTCCTCACTGGGGGGGGGGGGAGGGGGGGCGGTGGATGGTGGTGATTCCTCGCCGACTCCATTGTAACTTCATTTTTCTCCCCATTATTTTTGCTCGACGGGGAAGTTCTGGCAGATTCCCGGCGATGCGGTTACAAGTGGTTATAGTGGAGCACAAGAAGCAGTTAACGACGGGCGGTGGTGCTGGCTGATGGCGGACGTCCCACTTGAGGACTTGCCGGTCCTGGTCACCTGCTACTCTCCTTTCTGATGTTAGGGGGATTGGGGCGCTATGCCAGATAGTGCAATATAGGCAGGGAAAGGGGGGCGGCTCTCGGGCACCCCTCTTATGATTCCGTGGTGAGAACTGGAGTGACTCGGATCGTCTGCGTCCCATTTGAAGGATGACCTCGGTTGGGTCGCCGCCAGGGACGAAGAAGAATAAGAAGAGAACCAAACGCGGCGAGGAAAATAAAACAAAAATCTAAGCAGAGCGGCCACCGTCACACAGGGGAACGTGCGAGATGGTGTGAGGCTGTGTGAGATGGTGGTGGTGATGATGCTTTCGGTGGTGGTGATGATGCTCTTGGTGGTGGTGGTAGTTGTGGTGATGGTAGTGGTGAGAGTGGTGGGAAAGGTGTTGGTGATGTTCTTGGTGGTGGTGGTGATGCTCTTGGTGGTGGTGGCAGTTATGGTGATTATAGTGGTGAGAGTGACGGGAATGGTGGTGGTGAGTGGCAGGGCTTTTGGTGGTGGTGGTGGTGAGAGTGGTGGGACTGGTGATGGTAGTGGTGGTGAGAGTGGTAAGAGTGGTGGTGAGAGTGGTGGGACTGGTGGTGGTGGTAGTGGTGGTAAGAGTGGTGAGAGTGGTGAGAGTGGTGAGTGTGGTGGTGGTGGTGAGAGTGGTGAGAGTGGTGAGAATGGTGAGAGTGGTGGTGGTGAGAGTGGTGAGGGTGGTAGGACTGTTGGTGGTGTTGGTGGTGCCGGTGCCCGGTGGTGGTTGTTGCAGGAGAGGAAGTTGCTTGTGCCTGGTTCCGGCAACAAAATCACTGATGCTGGAGTCTCAGGTGCCACTCGGCAGCACCAGGATGTTGTTGCCGGAACTGAACGGACGCTCTCCAATACCCACGCGGTCCACGGGGCTGAACCGCGCACTCCGAACAACGCTCACGAGACGGGCGGGGATGGGCAGGGGGGGACACGGAGTGAGCAGAGACAAAGGAAAGGGTAGCGATGCAGGGAAGTGCGGGAACACAGGGACACGGGATATGAGCAGAGTCGCACGCTCCCAGCTGAAACACGCAGAGACAACGGGACAGAGCGGAGACGCAGGAGGCACGCGCAGTAAGTGGCGACTCAGACACGCAGAGTGGAGACGGGGGACAGCCCTGGCCGGTCGACCGGTCGAGCGATTCGTGAGTGCGAGGGAGCAATGGACGGACCGAGCGATCGAGCTGCGGGGAATTGTCGAGCGGGCGACGGGGAGAGCGACCCACCTGTGCGTGTAGCCGTGGCGGTGCATGTGCGTGACGCCGGCCGACACCTCGAAGGCCATGCGAAGGAGCTGCTCCACGTCTACTACGCTGCCCGTCACCCCCGCCAGCCCGCGCAGGTACGCCTTCACGTCCCCCTGTTAGGAGGGTACGGGGGGGGGGCAGAGGTCACGGCGCAGAGGTTAGAGGCCACGGAAAAATTGGCCGAGAGCAATGCCGCAGGTGCGTCGACCGTCACTGAAAAGTGATATCTGCTTCACGGCAGACATTGCTGAAGACCGCACGGCGTTATTCGGAGGCGGCGTCACAGTCCAAGTTTGCCGATTTTGAATAAATAATTCCTAGCAAGCTACTTGACTGCGATAACCTGTGGGGCACATTGCCCCATCCTGGCAGACGAACGCCCGCCGCCAGGCAGCTGCTGTGTGCACTTTGTGCCGCACAGCGACACTGTCCCCCTCGGCTAAAAAAGAAAACACGCTCCGAGATGTTTTAATTACGCCACGGGCGCAACGTTAACGTATTCATTTCAGCAAGGAAATGTCAAGGGAGTATTTTTCTTAAGCTGAATAATTTGTTTTTATTATCCAAAACTCCCCACGCAATCACGGGAAGAGAGACAGGTAAACTCCAAATATACAGCAGCAGCAGCAGGCGTCAGGGTCGGAATCGAAGCCACGGCCTCCTGTATACCAGGCGAGGTAGTTAACATCTCCTAGCCACCGTGGCACCCTTGCTCTCCCACATCTTCCGTTTGTTGATCTTCCCCCTTCGATTATTAGCGCGGTGGGCTACGGTGCGAAAGAAATTAAACGTACAGTACAAGACACTTTTTTTTCAAGGAGAGCACTACTTCTGGTGAGATGTTTGGCCCAAGTCCCTTTTAAAAATAACGAGTGATTGTGTGTCACTCTCTTCTCTCGCCATGCGCTCGGGGCGTGCTGGGGGATCACCTCCACCGCTGTCGCTGTGAACGCTCCAGCCGTGCTCGTTAAGTCCGAGTCCGTTAGATTAGTGTCTTGAATCGTGTTTATTTATTGCTTATCTTGTTTGCAGTCAGTTCTGGTGTGGGTTTCCTGTATATAATTTGTTGTTTTTGCTCTTGTTAGTTTGCACATTCCCACCCTGCGATGTCCGGTAACTGCTGCCACTTCTGGCGGTCTTGGGCTGTGGTCTGCGAGTCTCTGTGTAACTCTATGGATCTCTATGTAACTCTGTGAGTCTCTATGTAACTTTGTGCAATGCCCCATTGAGCTCCTTGGCTGAGCCCTGAGCCATAGCAGTGGAAATTCCACATTCCTATGGACAGGGGACAATCCCGATATAAACATATATACAATAATACCCCGATTCACGTCTCCCCCCCCCCCCCCCCCCCTTTTTACGTCGTTTCGCAAACACGTCGCTTTATTAACACCGCTACCCGATTTGCGTCGCCTCAACCCACACATCGCCTCAACCCACACTCACGTCGCCTCAACCCACACCCACGTCGCCTCAACCCACACCCACGTCGCCTCAACCCACACCCATGTCGCCTCAACCCACACCCACGTCGCCTCAACCCACACATCGCCTCAACCCACACCCACGTCGCCTCAACCCACACCCACGTCGCCTCAACCCACACCCATGTCGCCTCCACACCCATGTCGCCTCCACACCCATGTCGCCTCAACCCCACACCACGTCGCCTCAACCCACACCCACGTCGCCTCAACCCACACCCACGTCGCCTCAACCCACACCCATGTCGCCTCAACCCACACCCACGTCGCCTCAACCCACCCATCGCCTCAACCCACACCCACGTCGCCTCAACCCACACCCATGTCGCCTCAACCCACACCCACGTCGCCTCAACCCACACTCATGTCGCCTCCACACCCACACCCATGTCCCCTCCACACCTACGTCGCCTCAACCCACACCCATGTCACCTCAACCCACATCCACGTCGCCTCAACCCACACCCACGTCGCCTCAACCCACACTCATGTCACCTCAGCCCACACTCATGTCGCCTCAACCCACACCCATGTCGCCTCAACTCACACTCATGTCGCTTCAACCCACACCCAGGTCGCCTCAACCCACACCCACGTTGCCGACAGCATCGTCGCGTGTCCTTCCTCCTTATCCGGTCGCCTCTCAGCCTGCACCGTCAATCGCTTTGATCGACGTCATTTGGATATTCGTCGTCGTCGCACCTTGCAGGAACGCATCCCCCCCGACCCCCCCCCCCACCCCTCAACATAAAAACCTGTGGTAGTTACTGCACAACGACCAACCCTTTTGGATCTCTCTGGCTGTTTGCAGCTGGGCAAGGCCCTTGCTCATAATCCCTATGATCATAATCTTCATCCCAGGCTGGAGGAATCCGATGAGCCACGAGGCTCTTTTTTCACATATGTCCCGAGTGTGAGCTGCTAAGCTCTCCCCGTCTCGGTGGCTTCTGCGCAGTCGACGTGGACCGACCGACCGACCGACCTCTCCTCGCCCCAACACAAACGACGGGGACCCCCACCCCCCCGGGGACCCCCACCACCCCCCCCCCCCTTAACATTCCTGCCGCTCAGCGTGGGGCATTCGCTGCTGCCACCGCCGCTGCTCCCGAATAACGCAATGATGGCATCGGGGCGGCCACGACAATGGCCCCTGAAACATTCTTTCAGGGCCGTTTCGTGGATTCGTCAGACAGCGGGCCGAGGTGGCATCGTCAACGCGCTCGGATTTTTAAGTTTTAATGTATATGTAAAGATAAAAAAAATATGTATCGTCATAAAAATAGACACGCACGTGCAAGTGCATACTGCACTTTGCATCCGAAGAAGTAAAAAAAAACCTTTCTGTACAAAAACAACAGCTGCGGGCGTTGATTTTTTTTGTGTGTCTCAGCATCCTGCATTTAAAAGTACAATTATGGTAATTAATTGCGATGACGGCTGAACAGCACGCGTGTCGTACGGCTATTGAACGCAAGGATTATCCCCGTCGCCGTCGTATATTATCATTTATTATCGTAATTTAAGCGTCTCAGAGAGTCTAAGCGTTCAAACGACCAAGGGCCCGGCGCTCATCTCAGTTTGGCGGTGGTGGTAATTCCACGTTCACGACGAACGATCACTGTTGACCAGCCCACAAAGTCAGGATGATTGATGATGATGATCATCATGACCATGATGGTTTCCCCTTTTTTTTCTGGCAACAAAACAGGTGTTAAGATGTTAAAACACCAAACTGAAACCTTTCGCAAGGAATCATGTCTGCAAGGAATCATTGTCCTCATAGTGGCATTGTCTTTGTGCTGTTCGCCTTTTTGGCCTCCTCTGGTCTAACACCGTTTGAGACGAGGCTCTAAAGGAAGCTGTCTCTGGTGTGGACCAATCAGTTTCAAAGACAATGCACACACTGTCAGAGCATGTTTATTTGTTTGTATTTTCACCACAAGTATCTGTGGTTAATGCAGACATGATTCCTTGCAAAAGGTTTCAGTTTAGTGTTTTGGAAGGGGAAAACCTATTCTTATGTTGTGACACTGGCAAAGGAGGCCCCATGATGTACATGTTGATCTAAGTTGACCAGGAATCAAACGTATAACCTTTCTCCCTGATCGTGAGGCGAATGCTCCCCACCCCGGTGGCCCGATCCTAACTTAGCGTCTTGCTGTATTCTCCGTGAACATAAAGCGTTACTTTGTTTTCCCCGCTATTTTAAAGCAAACGACAGAGACGAGTCTTATAAACGAAATCGGTAAGAATTCCATTTTGTGCGTGTGTGTGCGTGTGTGTGTATCCGCACGTGCGTGTGTCTTTGTGTGTGTATGTGTGTGTGCGCGTGTCTTTGTCAATGTGTATGTGTGCGTGAGTGTACGAGAATCACTTGTTGACCCCACAAAGTCGGGAGTGGTAAGGGATAGCAATAAGCATGCTGCTCTACCAACCCGGTAACCCGGCAACCCGGGTTCGATTCCGGGCAACTCGGTTCGATCCCCGCGGGTCAATACCAGTGACGATTAACTGAACCGGTTCTGGGCCTACCCTAGGTCGACTCAGCCTCAAATGAGTACCTGGTGCGGTGTGTAAACATCACCACAAAGGCGACCTGGGGGAGGGGGGGGGGCGTGTTGCTCGCCACACGCACCCCCTCGTGTGCCTCAATGTCAGCCTTTAATAGGTGCTCACTAACAGCACTTGCCCCAAACAGTCTGTTAAGGCTATAAGGGGGTCTTTGTGGGTGTGTAAGCCAATATACTTGCGTAACTTTACACCGAGCACAAGTTTGGGGTGCGTCTTACTCATCGGATCGTCTTATAATATTAATAATACTGACTCTAAAGCATTATAGCGCTGTTTAACTAACAAAAACACTCCACTGCGATAAGCCGACCGGAGGGATAATTACAATGGCGGCTCTCTGGGCCTGCGATACGGATTCCTTGGCCAGCGAGCAGTGAGCAGGTTTAATTTTAGACGGATTTTAGTTGCGAGATATATATACTTATTTGCTTAACGCTGTCATTTTAGACGTAGGATTATTGAATAACGCGGAACGCCTCTGCGACGGCCGTGTAAACAGGGCTGATGCAACATCCTGTTTACCGGGGCGCGCTACCCCAGGGTCACCGAACCCCGCGGTGACACGCGCGAGTGCGGGGGCGGGCCAGACGCAAAGCGCCACGCACGGTCTCACAAAGGGACCCTTGGTTTCAAAAGAACATTAATATATTTCGCATTTTAATCGGTAATTTTAGCGCTAACTTTAATCCCGATCGTGCTAATCGGCGTCGCGTCGTCTCGAGCCGAAGAGGAATCCCTTCGGGAAATCTCCCCGCGGAATCGGATATCACAGAACTACTTCCGAGGTCCCTCCGAATGACCTCTGAGGCTACAGACTAAGGGGGCAGCACTTTTCCAAACCCCGCTCTGCCATTGAAGAGAAATGCTCGCCAAACGACGGTTAAGCCGATATTTTTCTTACTCTTGACTGAAAATCTGAACGGGAGTTGCGATGGCTTTCCTCGCGTGGTCCGGGCTGTGCACGTCGACCCTCCGCATTGGAGGAGCCCGGCTTAAACACAGCCCGGCCGACACTCCGATCCGTGCCCACGAAGTCGCTGGCGCCACTGTGCACGCATGCACGTTGAACTCCTTTGGCACCGTACGTAGCCAACCGTGCTAATCGGAGGTGCAGCCAGCTCGGCGCTCGGCCCTTTGAGCCAGCCGGCCACCACACAAGAGGCCTTGATAATGGGGAAGGGGGAGGGGGATGGACCTCGGAGTCTCACGATGGGGGCCTGGTCACCCAAAGTGGCCTTGAAACGCACCGCGGTCCTGCGCACGGCCGGGCCACAGACCGACCCGCTCGCGACACGCCGCCCGTCAGGTCTCCGGGGTCGACGAGCAAGGGTCGAGCCTGGAGAGCGCTCGGGCGGGCGACCCACCCATGTGCACGCCCGGTTGCCGTAGGCGGCCCCGGCGCTGTGCTACACTGTGGTCAGCGGAGGGCACCGGTGGCTAAATCCAACGCTGTGCTGTAACCGTAGTTACGTCACGTGAATCCGTGGTACTCGGAGATAAGTGGGACGCATTCATCAACCCGCACTAACCAGCGTGGTGAAGTATGGTCAAATGACACCCCCCCCACCCCCCCCACCCACACGATCCACAGGGCGGGTGGGGGGGGGGGGGGTTGGGAGGCTCTCATCCAGCAGCGGATAAACAGAAGGGCTTTAAGTTTACGTACGGGGAAGGGTAACCAGCAAAACGTGGCAGGAAGGCGTTGAGGCGGCTGTGATGGGCATGACGTGTGGGGTGGAAGAGGACACGGGAAGCAAGTTGGAGGTTCTGCATAGAACTTACGTACAATAACCCAATTCTTCATTTAAAATTATTATCATGCTACGTGTAATTTTATAATCGCTGCAAAGTGCCTTAGTAAAACGCGCCTTAGTAAAGGCGCTATATACATCTCATTAACATCATAAAATGCCTCTGCTTGTTAGTTTGGTTTGCTGACTAGCAGGAGGAAGCAAATTGGGAGGTGCTTCTGCGCCTTTGAATTTATTTTGAACCGCAAGTCAACGAGTCTCCCTGCTCAAACGAGCATTGAACGGTCCTCGTATGCATTGGTAGCCTTGAGCCAGCGGTGGGGCATTCCGCATTCCTATGGCAGGGGCAAGCCTGTCCAAACAACGACCACTCTGGAATTACCGGTGTGATTACGGCACATCGTCTACAGATTGGACGAAAAAAAAGTCAAGTAAAAGGCGAGAATTCCCCGGATGGAATGCAGTTTCATAGAGCACGGGGGGGGGGGGGGGTGGGGGGTGCCAGTGCTGTTAGCAAGCACCTGTTTGTACACGGAAGAGCAACGCGATGCCGCTAACTCAAGGGAGCTTCGCCGAGTCCCGAGACTCCGTCTTCAGGAGGGTTGCCGCGTCGGTGATGCTTGGCCAATCCCATCTCACGAGTTGTTTGCCTTCGTGTGGAAAGGAAACCGGAGAGCCTGGAGAGACTGCCCCCCCCCGCCAACCGCATGCGCGAAGGAGCCAAGTAACTATTCGAAGAGCCGCACAGATGGATTTAAAGTCCATCGCCGTGGCGCTGTCCCATCTGCTTGGCCACTTCGCACGCACAACAGCGCGGTGGCGGTGTTGTGCGTGCCGCCCCGACCGCCTTTGTCACCCCAGTGCCTCGGTTCACGGTCAGCTCAAGAGGAGCAGCAGGAGGAGTGGGAGGTGGAGGAGGAGAGATGACGATGGTGGGTGCGTAGGAGGCTTGTGAGGATGATATTTTTGAACGCGGTGTCTGATGTGGTGAAACGTGTTGCGAAGGAGGGGAGGGGGGGCATTTTTTGCCCCCCCCCCCAGCTGCCTCAAGGGATAACGTCGGATACCTAATTAGGTCGATGAAAAACTGGCCTGGAAGTTCATTGGCTCTTTGTCACCGGAGGGGCCACCCAGAATAGCATAGCCCAACACACGACATACACACGTGCGTACTCATACACACAGACACGTGGATACTCATATACACACACACAAAGATACTCAAATATACATATACGCATAGATACTCACACAAAGACAAAGATCCCCCACATAGCCTTTAACAGACTGTGAGGGCAAAGTGCTTTTAGCGAGCACCAATGAAACCCAGCACGGCACACGAGGGGGTGGGTGGCCAGCACCACGACCGGCGGCCGCCTTTGTCTACCTAGTGGCGATGTTTACACACCGCACCTGGTACTCGTTTGATGCTGAGTCGACCTAGGGAACGCTCAGGACCGGTTCAGATAATATTCACTGGTGTTTGCCGTGAGCGGAAATCGAACTCGGGTGGCCGGGTTCATAGTGCAGCGTGCTAACCGCTGCGCTACAGCCCACACATAGATACTCATACAACAACAACAACCGCCATTCGCCACTAAGTGGCGGTGACGTCACCACGACGCTTGTGCCAGGCCATGTGCACCTTGAGGCCACGTGAGGTGTCGAACGCCCGCAGGCAGGAGGTCACGGGGCAGACCCAAGTGCCACGGGTCGACTGACTAAGATGACTGGCTGATGCACCACCTGTGCCCCCTACTGTGCCAACCTGCTGTGCTTTAGCCACCCGGCGCACCACTCGTTGTTATGAGCGTCGCTCCTCTGCCCTCCGTTGTTGTTGGAGGGCGACTGCCTCCAACTGCCCAGTAGCGTACTTCACGAGCCTCCTCCACAGAGGCCGATCTTGACACTGCTGGTACCGGTCATCGGCAAGTCCACTCAGCTCCACGTCCTCCTGTACCACATCATTCCATCTCTTCTCTAGCTCGTGCCATGCCCGTTTAGCCCCCTTGATCTGGCCGAACAAAAGCTGTTTCGGCATGCGGTGGCTGGGCATGCGGGCTACATGACCCAGCCAACGCAGCCTTGCCTGCCGGAGGAGCTCACCGATGAAACCTTGCCCAGATCTTTCAAGGATTTGTGAGCTCCTCACACAATCCAGCCTGCTGGTTAAACCCAGGATGGATCGTAGGCAGGCTAGCCTAAATGTTTCTAACCGGCGAAGATGCTCAATTAGGGGGGGTCCACGTTTCGCAAGCGTAGAGAAGGGAGGGAATGACCGTGGCCGAGAAGACCTGAAACTTCAGAAACATACACGCGTGCATACATACACACACACACAAACATACACACGCCGTTGTGTGTACTCGGGTCGACGCTTGAGAGTCCCTCCCTGGGCCGGCCACACCATCCCTACATGGAGGTGGGGCTGCCCTCCCCGGGGGTCATGGATCAGCAACGTGTGTGGGTGCGTGCGTGCGTCTGACGATAGCAGTAAATCCACACACACACAAACATAGACACGCTATATACGCGCGGACACGTAGAGACCCACATGCATACACACACAGTCGCCTACATACACACAAACATAGGCATGCATATGCACACAAACATAGGCATGCATATGCACACAAACAAAGACACCCACACACACACTAACATAGACACACATACTTACACACACACATATATTGTACGCGCACAAACATAGACAAAAATAAAACAAAGATTCCCTGTATAGCCTTAAAAATCTTTAGGGTCATGTGCTGTTAGCGAGCAGCAATTAAGGCCGGCACGGCACACTAAGGGAGTGGATGGTCAGAAACCAATTCCGGCCAGCTTTGTCTCCCCAGTGCTGATGGTTTTTTTTCTCACATAGACTGCACCAGGTACTTAATTGAGGATGAGTCGACCAAGGGGAGGCCCAGGACTGGTTCAAATAATCGTCACTGATTTTTGGCCGTGAGCGGAAATCGAACTCGGTTCATCGTGCAGTACACTAACCACTACACTACCACCCCCCACATACATAAACAGACACACACGCACACCCACGAACTCACTGCCCACACATGGCCACTATGAGAGATTTGAGGACAGGTATTTGTAACTCTGGAGCTAAACGATGTCAGTAACAAGGTTAGAGAAGCCACATGGTGCGACAGATGTCCAGTGAGGGTTTGGCCACACCATTCATAGCCTGATGGCACGTTCACACAGTGTACCCCAAAAACCTGGGGGTAGTTGTCACTCCCATGCGCACATTCACACAGTGTATCCCAAAACCCTAGGGGTAGTGGTCACTGCCACGTGCACATTGACACATTGTTCCCCAAAACCCTGGGGGTAGTTGTCACTCCCATGTGCACATTCACACATTGTACCCCAAAACCATGGGGGTAGTGGTCACTCGCACGTGCACGTTCACACAGTGTACCCCAAAACCCTGGGGGTAGTGGTCACTCTCACCAACATATTCACAAAGTGCACCCCAAAAACTCGGGGTATCCACTCCCACGTGCACGTTCACACAGTGCACCTCAAAAACTGGGGGTAGCCACTCCCACTAACACATTCACACAGTGCACTGAAAAAGCCTCGGAAGTAGCTCCACCCACAAGTATATTTTGAAAGTATACCCAAAAACGTAGCTACTGCATACACTCTACAAGGAGTTTTGCAAAATGCACTCAGAAATGTAAAGAGACTCTCAGTACTATACAGTGCATACAAAACGCACGTGCACGGGTTTGCATGCGTGTGCACGTGGACGTGTGCGTGCGCGTCTAATGTGTGCGTGTCTTGTCTAGGGAGCGGTAGTGTAGCGGTAGTGTAGCGGTAGTGTAGTGGTTTGCGTGCTGCGCTACGAACCCAGCAACCCGAGTTTGATTCCCGCTCACGGCCAACACCGGTGACGATTATCTGAACCGGTCCTGGGCCTCCCCAAGGTCGACTCGGCCCCAAATGAGTACCTGGTGCGATGTGTAAACATCGCCACTGGGGAGACAAAGGCGGCCGGGCGTGGTGCTGGCCACCACCACCCCCACGTGTGCCGTGCCGGCCTTTACAGGTGCTCGCTAACAGCACTTGCCCCAACAGTCTGTTAAGGCTAACACGGGGGGTCTTTGTTCCGCGTGTGTTGTCTCACCAGCGAGCAGAGCTCCATGACCAGCAAGTACGGAGAGGACTCCGTGCACTGTCCCAAGCACTGCATGATGTTCGGGTGCTGTAGAAGCCTGAGAGGGAAACAGACACACAGAGAGAGAAAGACAGAGGGACAAAGAGGTAAGAGAGAGACACACACACAGACAGTCACACATAGACAGAGATGCACAGAGAAAGAGACAGCAAAGCAGAGGGAGTTAAGAGCCGCACAGACAGAGAGATACAAGCACAGACATAGAGACAGAACGATATAGAGAGATGCAGAGAGGCGCACTCAATTATTTATATTTACTGTTACGTTTACACCAATTAGGTCCCATTAGCGCTGCAGATTGACCCCCCGGACGGATGCGAAATATCTGTGGTCAGACTCCTCCGAGGGTCTAACTTAGTTTAGTTCTCTACAGCGTTGTTCATGCAAACTGCATCTCACAATCCTTCGGGAACCACACAAAGCTACGAGGCAGCAGCGAGGCGGTGAGCCGGCGTGACCAACAATTGTCTGCAGTCCTCTGCACGTATATATATGTCGATGTGAATATGTTCACATCCAATTAACGAGTGCTTATGCGTGTGGGAGCACCCGCAGAAATCCCTCGCTTGTGTGCGAGGGGGGCAACACTCTATCCCATCAGGGAAGCGACAAGGGTGATGTCAGTCCGCGCTCTTTACTGTGACCGCCTTCTTCTCCTTATTCTTCAGGTGGAATGGAACCCTTTTCCATTCCCAGGCGACTGCAAGTTGCAGGGTGGGTGGGTGGGGGGGGGTCCCGTTCGTGCCGCTGAATCTGGGAGCGTGCGAGCGATTCGGCGTTAATTTGATTTCGAGAGGCGTCGTAACGGCGTTGCTTTTAAAGACAACTGTACTCGCCGCAGCAGAGAACTGCAGCGGCACGAACCGCACTCTACGTTAGCTGCCGCCAAGCCCCCCCCCCTCCCCACCACCCCCGCGTGGCCCTGTGGGAGCCTCGGTAGCGATGAAGTTATTCTATTTGAGTTTTTTTTCTTCCGGCTCCGCACGCGCACGTCATCCCGAACGGCATCGGAAAGAGAAGAACAACTGATGGCATACGCGTGCATCATCGGAACGGGGATAAGCGTTAAGGGAGTTGCGCAACCATGAGCGGCGGTGATCCCCCAACCCTCACTGCCTCCGCCCGTGTTGGATTAGACGCCGCGCACAGCAGAGCCGCCCACCCGCACGCCCTCCTTCGACAACTGCTCGATTTTCTGAATTAAGATCAAAGGCAAATGTATTACACTTGAACAATGGGGGGCTCTGTACAGCGTTTGGTGGCTGTGCCTAGCCCCCCATCCCCCACCTCCTCCCCCAGGTCTCCCTTTAAAAACAGAGCCCTTTTAATAGGGGAGGCTGAGCGACGATGCTTCGTGCTATGCCCGTGAAATAGATATCCGTCGGTCCGTCTGTCCATCCGTCTGTTCGTCCGTGTGTGTGTCTATCCATCAGACACTTTTCACGTTGACTTTCGCGTGGAGAGATGTTAACTACCTCGCCTGGTGTACACAAGGTCGTGGGTTCGATCCCGACTCCTGTTGTATATTTGAAGTTTGCATGTCTCTCTCTTTCCCTGTGGTAACGTGAAGTTTTCTCCAGGTCCTCCGGTTTTTCCCTCCAAATGTAGAATCATCATCGACGTGAATTTAGAGTATTATAAATTCCCCCACGCACAGCCACTTCGTTGGGCTATCATTTGTGGCCAGGTCCCTTCTGAAAAAGAGCTACGTAGCTCAGTGGGCCTTACCTGGTAAAATAAAACAAAAGTTTAGTTTGTAGTTTACAGCCTACCTTACGATGCGTGATTGAGGTGTGGGTTAATCGCTACATTTTGGTCGTGAGAATCGCCAAGTGGAGCTCTAAACTACAGCAATTGGTGCGTCATCAAATTACGCTCGTAAACCGCATCAGGCGGTGGAGGGTCTCGGCAACACAACTGCGGCCCAGATCATCACTAACCCAGAACTCAACTGTGAGAGTCACTCCTCACAAGTCAAAAGCTCCAAACTGACCACACAGCTCACCAACACTAACGATGCCCGCATATATATAAAACTAAACACATTTTTTGCTATGTTACCAGGTAAGGCCCACGGATCTACATAGCTCTTTTTCAGAAGCGACCTGGGCCCAAATGATAGCTCAATTAAGCGGCTAATCACGTGGAAATTTATTGCAGCCAAATACTCTAAATGCAAAGCTTCCTGTAAATCACGTGACTTCTGTGTGGCTACGCCCACTCTGCACCCCTCCCCTCTCCCCATCACCACCCACTCAGAAAACAGACTCTGCGCAGTAGCAGCAGCAGCGTGGAGGCCCTGATAGGAGCCTCTTCCTCCCGATCTTCATCTCTCCGGACTCTCTGCTCACATTTCTCCATTCCTTTTCCTCCCATTTCCCTGATTTCCCATTCTTTCTCTTTTCTATTCCCTTTTCCTCGTTCACTTAATCTTCCCCATGCATCACATCCTTGACTCTGCTCCCCTTTCCCGTGGTGTGCAGCCACGGGTAAACGGCTGCCAATTGTTTGCAATTTTGGGTGACTTTGCCAATGAAATATTTACAGAAAAAAGCATTTTAATAAGATTTATATATAGTGCTATGCACGAGGGTAATTGGTGGACGGGTGCCTAACGCACGCATATTTTTGTACGGTTAAATCCCCAAACGAGGCTCATTTAACAGACGGGATTGATTGGGCAGGTTGTTATTGCGATGAGCTCTTACCTCGTTGATTGGTGCTTACAGGGTGAGCAACTGAGCGAGTCGTTAAAATCACGGGTGGGTGGGAGCCTGGGATTCGAACCCAGGTTCTCAGCAGTGCTGGGTCCGTGTCTCCAAAAACGAGCTGGTAAAAAGCCCCCGGGTTGGGCAGTGGAAATACCACATTCCTATGACAGGGACCGCTGTATCCACTAAAGAGTCACAGATGATGTCCCACCAAGTAGCATGAACGCTATCCACCCCCCGAGGGATGAGGTCAGGATGGACAACCTGCCTGGGAGTTAAACGACATGACCGATCGCGTGACTTTATGATTGCATGACCTTGCGATCGCGAGCAGAGCGCCTCGACCACGGCACCACTTGGCCGGGTGAGGCTGGGCCAGACGGCGTAAATGCCACGGACAAAGAGTTTCCAAACTTTTAGAATGGAATTAAGAAATGTGTTATCGCGCTCGCTCGGTGGCCCCGCAGTCTCAGCAGTGCACACGCACGCTTGCGGCTCCCGCGGTAATCTCTCCCCCATCACTGCCTCTCCCCCATCATTGCCTCTTCATCACTGCCTCTCTGCATCATTGCATCTCCCCCATCACTCCCTCTCACCCCATCACTGGTTTTTCTCCATCATTGCCTCTCCCCAGCACTGCCTCTCCCCCATTACTCCTCTCCCATCACTGCCTCTCCCCCATCACTGCCTCTCCCCAATCACTGCCTCTCCCCCATCACTGCCTCTCCCCCATCACTGCCGCTCCCCCATCACTCCCTCTCCCCCATCATTGCCTCTCCCCCATCACTGCCTCTCCCCCATCACTGCCTCTCCCCCATCACTCCCTCTCCCCCATCACTGCCTCTCCCCCATCATTGTGTCTCCCCCATCACTGCCTCTCCCCCATCCCTGCCTCTCCCCCATCCCTGCCTCTCCCCCATCACTGCCTCTCCATCACTGCCTCTCCTCCATCACTGCCTCTCCCCCATCACTGCCTCTCCCCTATCACTGCCGTCTCCCATCCCTGCCTCTCCTCCATCACTGCATCTCCCCCATCACTCTCTCTCCCCCATCACTCTCTCTCCCCCATCACTGTCTCTCCCCCATCACTGCCTCTCCCCCATCACTGCCTCTCCCCCATCACTGCCTCTCCCCCATCATTGCCTCTCTCCATAATTGCATCTCCCCCATCATTGCCTCTCCATCACTGCCTCTCTCCATCATTGAATCTCCCCCATCACTTCCTCTCCCCCATCACTGCCTCTCCCCCATCACTGCCTCTCCCCCATCACTGCCTCTCCCCCATCCCTGCCTCTCCCCCATCACTGCCTCTCCCCCATCACTGCCTCTCCCCCATCACTGCCTCTCCCCCATCACTCCCTCTCCCCCATCACTCCCTCTCTCCCATCACTGCCTCTCCATCACTGCCTCTCTCCATCATTGCATCTCCCCCATCACTCCCTCTCTCCCATCACTGCCTCTCCCCCATCCCTGCCTCCCTCCCATCACTCCGTCTCCCCCATCACTCCCTCTCTCCCATCACTGCCTCTCCCCCATCACTGCCTCTCTCCCATCCCTGCCTCTCCCCCATCACTGTCTTCCTCCCATCACTGCCTCTCCCCCATCACTTCCTCTCTCCCCCATCACTGCCTCTCTCCCATCACTGCCTCTCCCCCATCACTCCCTCTCTCCCATCACTGCCTCTCCCCCATCACTGCCTCTCCCCCATCACTCCCTCTCATCCCATCACTGGTTTTCCTCCATCATTGCCTCTCCCCCATCACTGCCTCTCCCCCATCACTCCCTCTCCCTCATCACTCCCCCATCATTGCCTCTCCATCACTGCCTCTCTCCATCATTGCATCTCCCCCATCACTCCCTCTCCCCCATCACTCCCTCTCCCCCATCACTGCCTCTCTCCCATCACTGCCTCTCCCCCATCACTCCCTCTCCCCCATCACTCCCTCTCCCCCATCACTGCCTCTCTCCCATCACTGCCTCTCCCCCATCACTGCCTCTCCCCCATCACTGCCTCTCCACCATCACTGCCTCTCCCCCATCACTCTCTCTCCCATAACTGCCTCTCCCCCATAACTGTCTCTCCCCCATCACTCCCTCTCCCCATCACTGCCTCTCCCCCATCCCTGCCTCTCCCCCATCACTCCCTCTCCCTCATCACTCCCTCTCCCCATCATTGCCTGTCCCCCATCACTCCCTCTCCCCCATCACTCCGTCTCCCCCATCATTGCCTCTCCCCCATCACTCCCTCTCCATCACTGCCTCTCCCCCATCACTCCCTCTCCCCATCACTCCCTCTCCCCCATCACTGCCTCTTCCCCATCACTGC